GTTGAAGCGGAGAGGGAGGCAGGGGGCTTCGCGCCAGCTGTCTCTCCCCAAGAACTCCTCACATTCTAAGCTCAGGGCCTCGATTTATCAGGTGTCACACCCGAACCGTTAAAACAGCAGTTCGCAAAAAAAAAACGTTTTTCCATCGCTTTATGTAAGGGAATTTGTGTATATGTGTATATATATAATATTGTCATTTTATAATTTTTATGATGTAGAAACCATAACCCCCTACCACACGCACCTTTCGGCTGTTACCCGTTACACAAATGTGCTCTTATGTTCTGTTTTCCTTTCCACTTGTTAGTTTGCCTTTCCAGACCTTTTTTTTTTAAAAAAATACTTTTTCGTGAGTCGTGCCTGTGTCAGGGTTAGGAGGTAGGCATGGAGCTGTTTTGTCTGTATGCCTGCAAAATAAAAACCAGTTGTACTCCTGTTTTTTTTTTTTTAGGTTGATGGTTCTTTTTTTAAGGGGGTTCAGTGTTCTACCAGAGAATAAGCTGAGGCCAAAAGAAACAATGTTTTGTGTGACAGAAGACTGAAAGATGGGAGGTTGCTAGTGTTCTCAGACCCACTGGAGGGCCATGTTGTAGTCAGATGAAGCAGCAGCGCAGTGCTTTGTCGCGGGCCAATTTCGCTTGGTGTAATCAAATCGTCCCATAAACGAGCTGAAGAACATGCATCAGGAAAGCGTTTTGGCCAGGTTGCTCTCCGCAGTATAAACTGGAGTTGACGCACTTTAGGGCAGTCCTGGCTGATGTCGTGTGCCCTTGTACAGACGTTGCTTAATTCATGTCTTATAAGGTGATATGACACCCTGCTAAAAGTTCTAAAAATCGGTTCGCCCAGCTTCAGCATTTTTAACAAACTGCTTGACCGCGCACCTTTGACCTTTTTCAAGAAATTGGAACAACGGGGGGCATTTTTGGCCATTCTTGGTAGCTGTGTTGGTCCACACGCATTTTGTTTTTGGCTCCATTTTCATTTCCTTGCAGAGCTAACCTTCCAGCCTGCTCTGCCTGTCTGAGTTGCGTTTTCTCATTTTGCCATCTGTAAACATGCTCTGTTACTCCTCCTCATTCCCAGTAGCATTTAATGGGAATATATTCTCCCCCCCACACACACACACGCACAAAAAGCAGTGTCGATCTCTTCTTCCTCAGACCCCACCAGCAACATCATTAATCGCACGTATTTGCCGAGACAGAGTTGACATGGCTGACTTCTTGGCCAGTCGCTTACTTGGTCACCGGGGAAAAGGAGCATTTTGAAGGTGTAGCTGATGGCCGGAAATGCCTGTGCTCGTTGTTCAGAGTCAAAACCTTGGGAGAAAAGAGCAGGGAGCAAGAGGCCAACTCGGAGAGCATCCGAAGCCCTAACTCTGAAGTGTAGCCAGGCCTCTTGGCGAGGTCCACCATGTCCTGCACCATGAAGTATTTTTGGCAGGAAACTCCCAAAGACTCTTGCCACACTCTGCATCCTTCTCTACACCAGCAATACAAGCCATCGCCCTGTGACGACTTGCTCAGGGCCTGGTCTGTACTGGCAAGCCGGACAAGAGCACTGGGAACATGCAGCTGACTGGCAAGCCAATGGAATTGAAGAAATGAAATTTCGGTACAAGAGATAGGGGTGTGGGGTGATGGGAGTCACATAAAAGGAAAAGGATACTATCCAAACAAATTCTTGGCGGATTCCGTGCCAAACAGATGGGTTTTTGCCATGGTAGCACATCGGGTCCTTTGTGGACAAGGGCCATTCCCCTGGACTGGGGAGATTTTTACTGGAACGGTGCGGTTCACGCTGGTAAAATCATATTTACACGAATTCCAGAGAGCTCATTGTTCGGCACCTGATTTGACCTTGAATCTGCGTTGACTTCTAGGCATCTCGAACAAAAGATAAATGCAGCAGCAACTCATTTCCCCCCCAAGAGTTTCTTAAACGCGTACCTTTTCCTGGAATGTGAAATGAGTTATTCCCACTTCCCCAAATCAATTATTTTTACATGTTTGTTGGAGTGCATTTGTTAGGCATGATATTATCAGGGCATTCACAGTTCCCCAAATCTCTGTGAGTTTCCTGTTATCAGTTCATGCTCTTGGCATGGTCATTTTTATTATATTTTTTACAATTGTTTATAACTACTGCTTTGTTCTTTATTTTGGCATCTCAAAATGTACAGGATTTCATTTTCAGGCTGAATTCTAAACATAGGCTGTGGTAATAAAATTATGTCTCTGGAAATGCAACTCTGCTGTAGTATTTGTGTTTATTCACTTAGGAATGACAATATTTTGCTGTCCTTTGGAAATTAGAATTTCAATCTTGTTTATATCATGTAGTTACTGACATGCTGTCTTTAAACCCTGTATAAAGTGCAGAAAATTATTTTATTAAACTAAATAAGTTGCTTCTTATATTTAATTTATTCTAAAATGTATTGTACTCTTCATTATTAATGGAAGTTAATGTTTTTGAGACTTAAGGTACAGAGTACTGCACACTATATCACTAAGCTAAATCTGCTTGCTTGGAAGATGAAAGTTGGTCTTTACCTCAAGTGATGTCACTCTTGGGATCCTGTTGAAAATGTTCAGTCAAAGCTGACTGAATTTGTGCGTTCTCATTTCATCAAGATGCATTTAGGGTGGTTTCTTGTAGCTGTTTGGATTGCACTTGAATCACAGTAAGTCATTATACACCCCATAGAGAATAGTTACATTTAAGCCAATGTAATCTTTCCCCTCAGATCTTGGGTCTTGAAGACTTCCTGGCCTGTGACTCAGGGAAGTGCAAGAGCTCATCTGCAGTCTGTGATTTTTATTACAGAGTTAAATAGAATATTATCAGCTACGGTATACAGTAAATGCTAGTGTTCACTTTAGACCTACAACTCCAGTATCCATGTTTGTGTAAATGTACAGTGATTTGAAATTTACTCATGTCCAGTGTGTGGATCATGATTTGAGAGGTGAGTATCTGCACAATTTTGTTTTACAAAAGATGGCATTTGTTTCAAGTCCTAACAAAACGGCAAGGATTTTTCACTTTTCAGCCAATCCTAAATTCTGCCAGGTTGCTGATTACAGAGATGGCCGGACAGGCGATGTGCAGTTCGTGCTGGTCGGATTTCATACCCAGGTAGTGAAATCCCATGCAGTTCAGAACCGATGGCTTCTGCTCAGCTCGAAAAGACAGCAGGTGAGTCTTAAACATATCCACGTGTGCGCTTATATTCAAGAATAGCGAACTGTCTGGGTATGTCGCTCTAAGATGAATCCCATCAAGCCCTGTGAAGTGATCTTTGTTTAGATGTGGCAGTGACAGAAAAGATCTCATCTTAACGGTTTTCAAGCTAAAATGAGCACTGTTGGAGACTCTTCAGAAGGTAAATCTGAGATATTTGCTAAAGAGCTCAATATCCCTCATGAATCTGCTTTAAAAAAAAGTGGCATCAAAAATAGAAACTGAAAAACCTCGGAAGGCTGCAATGGACGTTTTGGTAAAGAGTGATGTATGAAACTCAGTTGAGAAATATATTCACATATATATGGTAATAATGTATTGGGTTAATTATAGATTAGTGTCTCCTGTACTGTTTTGCATTATATATGTTGTTTAGAAGCTGCATTTTTGTTTGCCGATAAAAAAAATTAAATATCAAACATTTTCTGACAGTTCAAAGTAGGGCCTTCTCACTGAAAGGAGTTACCTGAAAACTATCCCCTTCCCAGACTGAAAGTTTTTGGAAAATTGCTTGGGTTTAGTTCCAGTAAGATGGCTGAGGAGATTTCTTGACAGTTCCATGGTGACAAACTCCTCCTGTTTCTTGTGAGGGCTGGGGTGGGCTTCTCTTGTTTTAGCAGTGTTAGCAATAGCAGACTGGACAGGAACTGTCCTGCATGACTTCAGGAAAGGCTAATGGCTCTTTTTTGGTTGTTTTTGTGATGACCCACAAATCTGTTTGTAAATCTCTGCAAGGGGTACGTCCAGTAATGTCTGTATACATTACAGAAGATTTTATTAGCTTTTTTTCTTTCTGTATCTGTCTTACTGTGCATCAGTCCCTTTCATTTTCAATCAATGGTTACATATTTTTTTAGAGTGCAGGTCGTACTAGACCATTCCTCTGCCTGTGGGTTAAACAGTAGGCAGCACTGAAGTTTAATGAGATAACAAGGGTTTTCTCTCCAATGCCACTGTTTGTTTCCATACAAATTGGAGGCAAAGAGACAAGTGAATGTTTGAATTTGTTACCTTCCCGAAATGTCCTTGTGATGGAAGAATGCAAGTTTCAGAAATTTGCCAAGGAAATAGTTGAACACCAGCAATGACCATGATGTACCATGGGTACAGAACGAAACCTGTAGCAATGGGGTTACTGGTGGGACTACAGGAGTACTACCCTAGCAAGGGCAGTTCCTTAGCATCCACACAGAAATACCCAGCTTGTTGGCTTTCTGTGGTCTCCAGTGCCAAGTGGCTTGCTTGGCAATCGGGATGCATTTGTTACTTTCTGCCAGCCTGAGTATTAAGTCACATAAAAAATGACAATTCCAGATTATAGAAGAAAATTAAAACGAAACACTATGCATTCACCTGTTTGTTAAATACCTAATTCCGCACTTCAGATACTCTGTGTGTAGAATCAAGGTTAAATTGTACAACAATGGTCGCTGAGCCGCTCACTCATTTTGTAAGTAATATCCCGTATATCCACACGAGGGCGCTCTAAGCTATACCTTTGTCAAGGCATCTTGTGTCAACGTGATTACCTTGTCCGTGCTCACTTGAACAGAATGTACAAGTACGTACGACGTTTTAGAAGAACAGGAAA